AAATTTCTATTTAAGCCACCTGACCTGTGGCATTTTGTAACAGTGGCTCTGGCACACCAACAGTAACTTATGGCATCTTTTCCCATATGAACACCATAAGTACATCTTTACAATGACCTTTTGTAAGCAAAGTGAAAGCCTTACTGAGAAACTTTGCTGCAATATATGTAATATATGCAATATATTTAATTATAAGACTGTTGTGTGTATTAACTTGTGAGTTAAAAACAGGCAAGGGTCTGTTTCTCATCTCCGAATTTGGACATAAAAATTTCATCTCTGTCCAACTGTCCAGGCATTAGAGAGATAATCTTTGATTTTTAAAACAAAAAAACAAATTTTACTTTTCAGTCAAGGGGGACCAGGGTGTAGCTCAGTGGCAGATCACTTGCCTATAGCACGTGTGAGACCCTGGACTCAATCTTTCACTTAAAAAAAAAAACAAAAACAAAAACAAAAAACAAATGACAACATTTTAGTGCATGTGCCAATTTCCCAAAATAAATATCACCACATAATATTTGCGTGCACTAATAAAATGTAATAAAAAAAGAAAAAACATCCAAGGACTTTTTCTCTTCTCTTTACTCTTAGAATTAAATAGTGAAGCCAGGTGTGATGGTACACACCTCTATAGCATTGTGGGAGGCCAACACAAATATTCAAGCTTAAGCCTAGGCTGGCCAACTTGGTGACTTAGTGAGATTCTAACTCAAAATAAACAAAAACAATTGGAGATGTAGGGCTCAGTTGAAAGGCCCTAGGTTCAATTACTAGTACTGTAGTGGGAAATATGAAATATATTTCCCAACCTATTAACTGTATGATACACCGAGTTCTTCTTCTCTAGAAATTGAAAAATGAGTCCTAGGAATGATGGAGGTTAAAAGAAGGAAGATATTTATTGATAGGAAAGCTCCTGAGGGTTAGGAAGAGTCCTGAGTATGCGGCCCAGTGACCCCACTTTACAGAGAAATTTTATAGGGTGAAACCCATGTGGGTACAACATGGGCCACAGCCATGAACATCCAATAAGGTTACAAGTATAGTCACTTAGGTAATGGTGGTCCAATTGGGAAGCAAGTCACATAGCAAGTGTGGATGGAAAAAATAAGGATTCTCCTAGGAGGAGGGGGGTCCAGAGGCCTCTGGTCATCCCCAAGGTTGTCAATGCCTATCTATACTTCACTGAGCCCAGTTCTTTGAAGAAGTATGTGGCTCTGCTCATCTTGTCCTCATCTTGAGGCCTAGTTTTCAGCCAACGTGCAGTTGTGATGTGTTTCATCTTTGTCCTGGCCCTCTCCTTATGTGACTGCCTATAATACTTCTACCTAGCTCATCTATCTATAATAGTACCATAAAAAACTAAGTAAAAATTAAACATTTATTGTATCAGATTCTTTCTGTGACCTGAAGAAACTAGCCCAACAGGCAGTAAATCAAGAGGTCTTGTGGGACTTCTCACCCAGCAGAGAGTCGGTGTCCCTGGGAATGAAACCACATGAAAATGACCACAAACCCTCTCAGTTGCAAGGTGGTAACAACTCTGAAAACCGATGCTGGTTGTAAGCAGCCACCTATCCTCAAAATATGTTCATACGTCCACTTCTACAGAACTGTTTATTTCTTGGTTTGACCCATGCATTACTTTTAAGGCCATGTGCTTCATGGGTCTGAAGTGAATGGCTGTGCCTATGAAAAAAAGGCTTGTCGACTCTGGGAAATTCCTGAGTCTGTTTCAGATAATGTTTAGCTCCATTAAAAAGTAAAACCAAAGCAGTACTTCTTTTGATACTTGGAAAATCCCCTATTCCAAAATAATTCAGCACATGTACATAAATTATACACTGAAACTAGAATCTCCTACAACTCAAATGTAAGGCACTGGAATTATCTGTTTTAAAAAACTACCATCTATGATGTTCCTACAGGGAAACACAATCCCTTTCTTCTGAGTTAACAATAGCTAACATTTATTAAGAACTTAGGGCATGCACAGTGCTAAGTCATTTACGTGGAATGAAATTTTAACTTTATAAGGCAGGCACCTTTATCACTCCCAGTGTGCAGGTGAGAAGAATGAAGCACAGAAAGGGTAAGAGGCTCATTGGAGAACACAGAGCTGTAAGTGGAGGAACAGGACTATTCAATACTCCTACACACCCCAACCCTTGTTAACAACAAACAAATGAATGGGGCCAGGTGAAGGGTTGAGAATGGAGCACAAGGAAGAGTGACTATAATCCGGGCACTGTTCTGGGACTTGGCAATGCCTTTCCCATTTAATCAGCACAACACCCTCCAAGGTAAACATCACTCTCCTACTTGACACAGAAGACACCGAGGCTTGGAGGGATCCAAATCATCCATGGGAGGCGGAGTGCTAATAAAGGATTGACCCAGGCCTCTCTAATTTCAAAGGCTGGTGTTTTCCTAGCCTACTCACCCCCTACATCATGGTCTCCTTTATAAGAATATACAATCTGCTTTTTAAAAATCAATCCAGCATCAGCAAATAGTTGTCCGAAGGCCAGGAGACAGACTGGGTTGTGCAGTGTAAGTTGCTTACTTAAAGTGCTAGTCCAGGAGGTAGAATCAAGTCCCACTTCTGGCATTTATTAATAAATACCTTTAGCCAAATCCCCTAAACTTGCCTGGCCTTAAGTACAAATTAGATGTATGCCTGCTTTGTGTACCTCACAAGGTTGATGTAGATAAAAACATCACCAACAGAGGGGAATGAAGCTGTGATAATTCTAAGGTGCTCCACAGCTGACCACTACCAGACTGAACAGAACACCAAGTTAGCCCAGCAGCTATCCCAGGAGGTGCACAGGAGAAGCACCACCAGAATGGCTGGCCTTTTGTGAAATGAACTGTCTCCAGGAAAACCTGACCAGGCTTAGCAGTCCCCCAGAACATTCTCCAAGGCTGCCCTTGGAGAATAGGTATCAACCAGATGATGCTGGAGAAATCCCCGGAGCAAACAGCCTTGCTCCTTTCAGCTTCCTGTACACTTTTTTGTTGTTACTGGGGATCGAACTCAGGACCTCTTGCTTGGGAGGCAGGCGCAGGGCCACTGAGCTAAATCCCCAGCCCTTCCTGTACATTTTTTAATAGGCTGACATTCAGCAGGATGCCATCTGATTACAGCATCTAGCACTGTGTTTCAACCTTGTAAATTACAGAACTGAGAAGGTAACAAGGCAGCAGGTACCTATCATCAGGTGAGAGGGTCCGACAGGGTCCTGTTTGGGGGAAAGTGAGCAAAAGTGGGGGTGAGGCATTCCAGGCAGTCCCTAACCCCTACCCTTTTAGTTCCAGTCCCCAGGAGGGGGAAGGGATCAGTAAAACTGTGAATCACCCAGCACTTCACACAATGACCCCTGCAGGAAAGGGTGGAGAAGCCCGTCCGGCAACTGCCTACACAAACAGGGCAATTCAGAAGAGCTGCAAACAAACCAGTTTAGCCCCAATTCCCATTTTGCATAAGAGTGCACTTCACAAAAACAACAGCCCTATACCAGTTGTTTGGGTCAAGGAGGAATTTTCTAAGTTCCTTGACAGGAACTCTGAATATAGTGGTCTTGGGATGTAAAGAATCAGATACTTGAATCCCCAGATCTAGGCGAACTTGGTTTCAAAAAAAAGCTGTAACCTCAACATTCCTTGCACCTTGCTGCACTTCCTCCTGGAACTTCGGTAACCCCTTATTAGCATACACAAAACAGGTACCCTTGCAGTCTCCTGCAAAGGCGATCCCTTTGGTTTAAGAGGTGACACCTCTTCAGCAGCTGGCCCTGAAGTGGGCACTATGACTGGCAAAGCAAAATGGAACTATAAAAATTAGGTTATCAGGGCTGGAGATTTAGCTCAGTGGCTCGGCACATTCCTAGCACACTGGGAGGATCTGGGTTCAATCCCCAGTACTGGGGCAAAAAAAAGGCATTTTTCTTTAGAGACAAGCCCCTTCTCCAAACTTCTTCTGTCCTAAGATGTGTATGAACTACTATCCTCCTTCAGGCCTCAGCCTAGAGGCAAGGACAGAATATGCCCATACTACTTACTGATCAGGGTTGTTTCCACAGGGAAGGGAGGGAGAGGAAATGGACTGGGAGGGAGAAACAAACAGAGTAGTCTATTGTCTCACCCGAGTCCCTCTCCGCTGTTCCTCACTATAAAAGACCTACACACCTACACACAGTGAGAAGATAATTAGTGGTGAAATGAGGCCTCTCCATTTCGGAGATAGCTTTGAATGGTCTTTTTCCTTTCTCCCAAGCCTCCCATGTTTTGGGGGAGGGTGGCCAGTATCAAGACCTCGGCTTTTTACTTCAGAAAAGCAGAACAGATGGACTACAACTAGATTACATTCAGGGCGAAGAACTTGGGCTGGGAGCCTGAGGGGTATGTGCCTCTGCCAAGAGGCCAAGGCCACCTCAGATCCTCCAGTAGGACACAGGTTCCAAGGAAAAGTGTGTCTTAGTGCAGCGAGGTACTGAACTAAGACAGTGGGCAAGGAAAGTAATACCATCCCTCCGCTACCCCTATCACTCTTGACAGCTACCAAACACAAGGAAAGGTGTTGTCTACACCCAAAATGATGCATGCATCTGTTTCTCAAAAACCTAAAGAAGCTGGACGTAGGTGGCTGAGGTAGGAGGATGCATATTCGAGCCCATCCCGGGCAACTTAGTCACTGTCTCAAAATATAAACAGATAAGACAGGTAGACAGATAGATAAATAGGTATATAGATAGGATTGACAGTGTTACAGCGCCCCTGGGTTCGATCCCCAGTGTCAAAAAAAGTTCACCTACCCCCGCAAGCCTAAAAGCCTATTGATGGCACTGAAATCCTTCCTTCGGATTCACAAAAAGGACGAGCACAGTCGCCTTACAACTTTCCAGGGGCTAAGGCTGAAGGAGGGCGCCATCGTGCCCTCCCCCGGACCCAAGCGCAGCGACGCCCTACTCTCACGTGTCCCACTCTCGGGTTACCTGGCTCGCGCGACCGCCGGCGACCGGCACCTGCGCCGTGGGCTCCTCGGCTGCCTTCTCTTCCTCCTCCTCGGCTGCCAAAGGGTCCCC